TTGCTGCTGCCGCAGCTTCAAGTAGCCGTGAGAGTGTGTCCAGCTGGCCGGGCTTTAGCTTTGATTCTAGGTGGTCACTCCAGTCCTGACGTCGTTTTTATTTTCGGCTCTTTCTTAGAATCCCCGAGAAGCTGACCCCATGAGTAAAGTGCAGGCTGAACTAGATGAGACCAAGATCATTCTGGTAAGGAAGCCAGAGATGAGGCTGCGGGGAACTGGGTAAAGGGCCACGCGGCCTTGCTTTCATCTGTACCTTAATCCAGTTAACTTTTAAAAAAATACCTTTTTATTGTTTCAGAGAGGAAGGGAGAGGGAGAGAGAGACAAACATCAATGATGAGAGAGAATCATTGATTGGTTGCCTCCTGCACGCCCCACACTGGGGATCGAGCCCACAACCTGGACATATGCTCTGACCAGGAATTGAGCCGTGACCTCCTGGCTCATAGGCCGACACTTAACCACTGAGCCACGCCGGTTGGGCCATCCAGTTAACTCTGGTGACGCGCATCCGAGTGGCCAGGCCCCTGTAGGGATGGGACTTTCTGCTCCTTTCTCACTCCATGCCTTTTCACACGTGTGACATCGGGCTCAGTGGGCCTGGTGGCTGCTCTGGCAATGGCCATGGGGCAGGAGTGGGGGGAGGGGGAGGATGTGAGCAGGCAGTGGGGCTGTGGCCCTTTCCCCCCTTGGAGAGGGTCTGTGAACTTACAGGCCCCTTGAGGGAATCGGGACGTGCCCTGTCCGATGCACTGGCCACCTCTGCCTGCTTGGCTGTCCATGCCTGTGTCGTGCAGGACTGGGACATGCTCTCTGCGCCAGTAGACCCTTCTCGGTTCCATAGGAAGGTCACGGGTCCTGGTGCATGCCCACATTGGACATGTGCTGGGTGCTCGTGTGGGGGAGGGCTCAGGGGACGTGCTTGCCCCTGATGGGCTGGATGAGGGCTGTGGCCACTCGTGGTGAACGGGCAGAGCCTCGCTTCTGTTCCTTCGGGCAGCACAACACCATGGAGTCCCTGCTAGAACGAGGCGAGAAGATAGACGACCTGGTGTCCAAATCCGAAGTGCTGGGAATCCACTCTAAAGCCTTCTACAAAACGGTGGGTACCTCTCGGTCCCAGGCCCCTTGCCGCGAGCAGGACCAGCACACCCTTGTTGCTTCGGTGCTGTAGCCGTGAGCGAGCTGGGCCTGTCACCGTCTTCGCCCTGCAGGCGGGTTCAGGCTCTGAGCCTAGGCTCACCCTTGTCTGCTGTTGGCTGAGTGGTGGGGTGCAGCATCCCCAGGTTCTGACGCTGCCTGTTCGCAGGTTCCTTGCACAGAATCTCACTGAGCAGTGGGGCGAGTTCGCTTGTTTTCCACACGCTGTTGCTTTCGTGTGTCCCTTGAGGGGAGCTGGCGGGGGGGTTGTGGTATCTGAACAGGAAGCAAGAGAGGAGGTCACAGGGGCCCAGGACCTAAGTGGGAGCCACTCTGTTGTCTGGAGAAGCACCAGAGCTGCCAGCCTTGTTGGGTAGAGGGTGGGCAGGGGGTCCTCAGCCAGCCAGTGCCCATGCCCATTTTTGTGTCGGGTGCCTTCCTGGTGGCAGGGCGGGCGAGGAGGACATGGTTGTCTGTGACCTGTTTCCAGCTGCTGGGAGGCGGCAAGGATGGGCATCACCAGTCCTTTCCCCTCAGTGCTCAGGGCTCCGTCTCTGTGCCCAGGCCACCTCCTCAGCCCCTCTTCTGCTCCTCTGTCTCTTTCTAGGCCCGGAAGCAAAACTCGTGCTGTGCAGTCATGTGACCGTAGTCCGCAGAGGCCCCCTTGCTGCATCCCCGTCATTCCATCAGAACCGCGGCTTTGGGAGATGCCTCGGCCACAGCAAGACTAGAGCACCGTCACCGTTCACTGGAGCTCCTGGAGGCGCCGAGGCAGCAGAAGGGACCTGGGGTGGGGAATGTTCAAATTCATGTTTCTGGTCGTTTTTGAAAAGATAATTTGAGGTCCTCAGAGGTATTTTGGGGCCAAAGGAAACCGTAAACACTCCATGATTCCTGCAGATGCCGAAGGGCTCTTGTCTAACCTATACATCAACTGTGTTAACGCTTCAGTGAGGGGGTTCTCAATCCACAGGGCGAGGGGTGACAGCACACACTGGGTTCTCCTGGGAAAGCCGCCAGGGTCACGGGGGTGGGACAAGCAGGGTCATGAGGAGGCAGCCCCTGGGATTCACAAGTTCTGAGACACAGTTTGCATTTCTGCTGAGACTGACTTCCACTGACGCCTTGGAGGTGTTGGAGGGGGCGGGGCACCTGCCTGACCTGCACTTGGCCTTGAACCTGGATCCCAGGCATGTGCCTCTGGCAGCAAAACTGTTTTGGCAACCACCTGGGCCTGCGTGTCTTAGCAAGTGGCCTTCCCGTGGCCACTGTTACTGGGCATCAAGAGCAAGGACCCAGCACCCCACTTGTCTGAGTGTGGCCGTCCCCGTCTGTGCTGACTCAGTCCCCCCTCCCCCCATCCTTCTTGACCCTCAGCAGCAGGAAACCAGGCCACAGCAGCCCAGGCGATGGCCCAGCAGGTCCTGGCCCCTTGGCCTGCCTGGTCCTGGGTCATCTGCCCTGTCCACACTGCCTCCTTGCTCTGCGTGCCACCTGCGGACAAGGTGCCCTTGCTGGGGTGGCATCAACCTGTGTGGTCTCACCCAGGGGTCCTTCTTTGAGTGTGCTGGTTCTTGCCCAGCCGAAGGTCCCACTCACCCAGCAGGAAGTGCCAGCAGCCCCAAATCTCGCTTGGGCCAGAGAACGGGATCTGTATGGCTTCTGAGCACCTGCCCCAACAGGTTCACCTGCCGGCTGCCTTTTTCCCTGGCACTGCTGGCCTCCCTAAGGATGCTCCCTGCCCGTGTGGCTCCTGCCGGACCACGCCTTAGGGTGCAGGCCCATCCTATTCGTGGCGCCTGAGGTGGCTGTGACTCCACTTGGGACAGTTGGGTCATGGATGATGGGGAGGACTTGGGCGACGGTGGATTTGGAAGAGGGAGGGTGGCTGGTGGAGGCCCTGTGCCCATGTGCTCCCTGTTCATGTCATCCGGCTAAGAGTATTTTAATAATTGTTGCCTAACTTTTGTGTTGTTGGAGAGGTTCCTATCTGGATAAAATTGTCTTTTGAAATTCCCAAAATGGTCCTGTGCTTTGTTTGAGCCTCGGGGGGTTTTGGGGGGACCCTTCCTCAGTGCCCTCTCTGTGCAGTGCACCCTCTGTTCTCTGCTGTGCAGGGGGAGGGCGGGGCCAGGGATGGGGGCCGGGTGTGTGTGTGGGGGGGGGGCAGGGAGGCGGCATCTGCCTTGCCCCAGGCACAGGCTCTACCTTTCTCAGGCCTGGCAGGACCCAGGCGAGGGAGCAAGCAGAGCAGACCCTGCAGGTGTGCGAACACCCTTGTGGGTTGGGGAGCCCAGTTCAGGGAGTGGTCCCAGCAGCTGGTCCGGGGAGACTTGGCAGCCTGGCCCGTCCTGGCCCAGGACCCTGCACTCGGCTCACCCAGCGTGACTGTCCAAACCCACAGCAGCCCTTCCTATGGAGGCCCGGGGAGCTCTGCCCAAACAGGCGCTGTTTAGAAGCGACAGTGGGGGCCTCCTGACCTCCCTCTGCCGTGGTGCCCGCCTGCCCACAGGCCTGCCTGCGTGCTGGGATGCGATGTCCACCTCAGGCACAGGAACCGGGGGGCCGGGCAGGAGGCGCCTCTGATTACAGCTGATAGGCCTGGGTCTAGGAGACACCGCCCGACACCGGTCTGGCTCTGTCCTACATTCTCCACCCTCTCAGGTCCCTGCGTGCTGCCAGGGGGAGCCCATGGCACCGAGACACTGATGCCAAGGGCCTCCTGGCCTGGGCCTGGCAAAGTGTCTGCCCCGGGGCGGAGCAGGAGGAGGTGGCCAAGGTGGTCCCTGGGGTCCCTGCATTCTCAGTCTCGGGCTCACGGGGCACTGAGGTCTAGGGTGGTTTTGAAGTCCCTGTTTCTGTCCCAGGAAAGCATGTGGCACAGGCACAGGCAGGCAGCAGCAGGGCCTGGGGTCGGGGGTGAGGGAGGCCACTGCCTCCACGTGAGGGCATCGGGGAGGGGGCCCGAGGGCGGGCCATGTGCTCTGATGGCCTTAGGAGCCGGTGGTCAGTCAGGTCAGCAGCCATGTGGTCAGTACTAACAGCCTCAGAGGCCGGGGTGGTCATTCCCGAGGGAGGCCCAACAGACTTCGTGTCCTGGCTGCAAGGATGCACTGGGTGACATCCTCCCCCTGAGGGTCAGGTCCGGGCACAGAGGGTGGGCAGAGCCCAAGCACAGGAAAGGCCTGGGGGTGTCTCGGGGTGTCATGCTGGGGCCGCTGCGGAGGGAGCCTGCTGGGGAGCGCCGGGCCCTGCCACCCCAGTCCTTCCTCCCGCCCTCTGTCTGGACACCTTAGGCTCAGCACCTGGCAGCCCTGTCCCCTGATCCTGCTGGGAGCTCTGGCCATGTGGACCTTGAGAAGCCTGCCTGGTCCCTGCTGTCCTCGCCTGCTGTTTCATCTTTGCCTCCAGCAGCCACCACTGTGCATGGGTGACATGGGTGTCTGAACTGTGCAGGCCTGTGTGCTGTCCGCACAACCCAGGGTGTGGGCTCCCGTGAGCAGGCGGGTGGCCATGGACACCACATGCCCCAGCCCCTGTGGCCGGCAGTCAGCAAACCACGCAGGTGGGGTGGCTGATGAAGGGAACGACTCGGTAGGTCAGTGCAGCCCAGCCCTGCAGCTCCTCCCACCCCAGACACCACTGGGGTGACTAGAGAGGTTGGGATGTGGGGGGGGTCAGGTATTGAAGCTGTGACTTGCGGCTGCACAGAGGGACCCCAGGCGGGTCGTCAACCCTGACAGGCTCAGGAAGGTCTGGACTCAGCCTCTACAGCCAGGCCCAGCGGGGGCCCCACGGAAGGGTCTGGGTGAGGGGTGGTGGGGTCCCAGCAGAAAGCACCGAGCTGCACATGAAGCAGTTTGTCCTGTTTGCCTTTTATTTGCAGTTTCCCGAGACAGAACAAAATAATTTTTTGTACACTTACAAGGCTCAGAAAGAAAAGACAACAAAACTCAGCAAAAAGAGGAGGGAAGCCGGCCAGCACCGCGGCCGCCGGCCCCTGCAGGGCGGGCCAGCGAGGCCACACCATGACATCAAGCTGGGAGAGCGGGTGTGGCATGCAAAAGAACTATCCCCCAGAAAAAAATCCCCAAATTAACCCAGACAGGCAGTCCCATGGAGAGGAGGAGGAGCGGGAGGAGGCCCCAGGAGGCGAGAGTGGCCAGGCACGCGCTGCAGGAGGCAAGCCCTGCCACTCACTGCCCGTGCCCGTGGGGCAGGCAGATGTTTACCATGTCCACGGGTGGGGACAGCTGCTCGAGCACAGCTGTGGGTGGGCAGATGAGTGTCCACTCTGAGTGGCAAGGACAGTCTCCTGTTTCCCATCCTATGCTCCTCCCTTGGGTTGATTTTGGGGGGAGATAAAAAAATCTTTGTTCAAAACAATGTGAATTGAAGAGTGCCTGGTACTGGAGCAGGAGGATCCCAGATCTCTGTGACCAGGCCGATTGGACCTGCCCCCACCCCTGGCTGCTCTCGGCCGCCATCTGACCACGAGGCCATCCCTGAGCCTCCCCGAAGTAAGCCCAGCCCCTCCTCCCACTCAGGGTCCCCGTCACACTGCAGCCCCCTGAAGCCTGGCAAGTGGCTGGCTTGCCCTGACCCCGGAGCACACTGCCTTGGGCGCAGACCCCTGCAGTGGCCTGGAGCCCAGGGAGCCCCCGCCCCCTCTGGCCCCTCCTTCCTGCATCAGGACCACTCCCTGAGCCCTGGGCCCTCCAGCCCACGTCCCCCTGTATCGGAGGAATGCCCCATGGACAGGAGGGAGGCCAGCCCATAGGTCCCCTCCCCACAGGGCTGCTGCCAAGGGTAGCCGCCCCCCGAGTCTGAAGCTAGCTGCACCCATCTGTACTTCCTGCCCCTGGCAGGGGGGCAGAGCCGAGACAGCCAGGGCCCTCAGAGCTTCTCACAGGCATCCTCCCCGGGGATGGGCCTGGCCGCTGCACTGCCCGTCCACGCTGGGGCATCGGGGCGCTGGCACGGGAGGAGCCCACACCCACCTTGGGGGAGGGTAGAGGAAGGGAAAAGAAGCAGAGGGAACAGCTGCGCTCAGGCCGTGGCCTGCAGCCCCCCAGACGACACCTGACACGACCCCCCGCCAGCAGGGTGGGGGTGGGCCCCATCGAACAAACACGTGAGGGCGATCGGCCTGCCCGGTGGACAAGTGCCCGCCCGGCTGCAGGCCTGGAGCAGACAGACAAGTGGAGCTCAGTGCAGAGTGGCCGGCAGGCTCCAGCCCCGCCAGTGCAGTCATTTTACAGCGTTTTCCTTTGTTTAGGTTTTTTCCCTATTTCATCCTTTTTTTTTCTTTTTTGTGGTGGTTGCTGTCATCTTGTTTTTAAAAAGAAACCACTCTGGTCTTGGTTTTCTGCAGACACAGGCACCAGGGGAGGAAGAGGCAGACACAAACATGCGACAGGCAGGCCGTGAGCTGAGGGCGGCTCGGCGCCAAACACGATCCGTCGGGCTCTGCAACGGGGAGGGCAGAGGGTCAGCTCCGCGTGCGCCCGGTCTGCACCCCAGGTCTGCGGCGTGTGGCTGCGTGCGCCCAGGTCTCATGCGGGCACCGCGGCTCCATCCAACCCCATCCAACCCCAGGCTCCGCCCATCGCCCGGGCCCGCCCCCGCGGCTCACCCTCACTGCAGCGGGGCCACGGGCGCTCCTGAGCAGTGGAAGTGCACGTTCTGCCACTTGCCCTCGCGCCGGTGCCACACGCGCGTCTCCTCGGACTGGCTGGTGCGGGGCCGGCCTTGGCCGTCGATGTACTGCGTGAGGCGGATGTAGGCGATGCAGGCTGCGTCCTCCCCGATGACGTGCACGTGCGGGTTCAGGATGGTCGTGTGGATCGGCTTGCTGTTTTTGGCGAGCACTGTGGACAGGGTGGGAATTAGCGCTGCGGCCGCCTCTCACCGGCACTGCCCGCTCCCTCCTGGGCCGGGTCCCTGGCTGCGTGGCCTGGGCAGGGTGGGGGCTTCCCTGGGCTCCCGCGCCACCCCCACTGGTGCCCTCACTCACAGTTCTCGAAGTAGAACCTGTGGAAGTCCATCCCTTCGACCAGGTTGCCCAAAGCTTCAGGCTCAAACGAGGTCAGGCCTGGGTCGCAGATTTTCCTGGGGGGCAGACCCAGGTGAGGAGGGCCCCCTCTGCACCCACCCAGGGTGTCCAGCCCTTTCTTCAGGGGACCCCCAGGCTGCCCAAGGAGCCACACAGGCCCCGACTCACGCGTAGGCCTCGAAGTCCCCGCTGTTGACAGCCTCGATGAGCTGCTCCGTGATCTTGATGATCTCCTGCTTCCGCGCTGCAGGGAGAGGCCCAGTGACCCACGGCCACCGCCCGCCCCACCTCTCCCCTCCCCTCCAGGGGACAGAAGCCCTGTGCCCAAACTGTCCCGCCCAGACCGTTCTCTCCAAGGCCAGCACGGCTCCCACAAGTCCAACAAGTTTCTACCTCGTCTGCCATCAATAAAACGTTTCTGAGTAACAGAATTCCACCCCCAGCACAAAACGTCTGGGAAACGCTGAGTGGCATGGGACCCACCACAACCACCACAGCCCTGGGCCCTCTGCAGCCCTGATCTGCCTTCCTGCTCCACCCACAAGGTCCTTCCCAAATCCCAGGGCCGTGGTCGGCAAACTCATTAGTCAACAGAGCCAGATATCAACAGGACAACGACTGAAATTTCTTTTGAGAACCACATTTTTTAAGCTTAAACTATATCGGTAGGTACATTGTTATTAACTTAATGAGGGTCCTCCTGAGCTGGCCTTTGCCAAAAACGTCCTCAATCTGATTGCGGTACGTTCGCTGAGGTCGACTCCTTCCACTGCTCCCGTCCACACTCGCCTTGTGTACTTGTTTCAGAGACGAGTGTGGATGGGAGAGGTGGAAGGGGTCGACCGCAGTGAACGTACCTCAAAACAATGTACCTCCCCCGTGCCGCCTATCCCGTCACCCTCCTGTCACCCGGCCAACCGACTGACACCCCCCACTTCTTCTAATGCCACTTCTTCAAAATAGACTCGCCCAGGCCAAAAACTGACTTCTGCGCATGGGCCAGGAAGTTTCAATCGCACTGTACGTGCGCGCCCGCACGTGGTATTTTGTGGAAGAGCCACACTCAAGGGGCCAAAGAGCTGCATGTGGCCCGCGAGCCACGGTTTGCCGACCACTGCTCCAGGGGACTAGGAAGGGCCGGCAAGCACAGCAGGGAGAAGACTGGGGGCTCGGGGAGGCCTCTGCCCAAAGGCCAGGCAGCTCAGAGAGCAGAGTGCATGAGCCTTCCCCCCTCCCCCGGGAAGGCAGCCAACCAGGTGTTGGCCTGCACCTCCTCTGGTCTCTACCGGCTTGCAGTCTTGGGCCCAGGTGCCAGCCAGCATACCACTCGTCCATCCCGCGCTCTCCACCATCCTCCAGGCTCCCGCCTACTTGGCCTCGGCCTCAGCAGGCCTGGCCCCAGGGTGGTTGCCCGAGGCCCTTTGTCTCTAAGTACATTTATTTTTGTGCAAAATATTTTCAACACATGGAAGAAGCAGAGAGCCCACGTGTCTGACACCGGAGGGGTTGGGTGCACCATGTGCGTGTCAGGTGGGAGTGTGTGCCTGTCTGCATGCATGTGCGCCGGCCTGCAAGCATGCGTAGGCTCCCGTCTTGAAAAGGCCCCTCTGGGCCACCGCACTTCTGCTTCTGTGCTGCTTTCCTTTCCTGCCCCTTGTCTGACCAGCAGGTTTGGCCCCGGAGGCTGGCCTCTAGGAGGGCTGCGGCTCCAGCTCCCCAGGTCCCAGGTCTCCGTGCAGGCCGCGTGGCTGTCCCACCTCTCCGCCTTCTGCCTGGGCGAGTCCCAGTGCTGAGCATCACCTTCGTGGAGGCCGTTTCCAGCTTCAGGCTCCCCTGTCTGCACCCCATCGTCCCCCCAGACCCTCCCCATGAGACCTGGCCACTTCCTTCCCACAGCTGCCAGCTCTGCCTCATGCTGTCCGGGCCCCTTGCTCAGGGTGCGTCCAGCCCCTGCCCGGACCCTCCACCTCCCACCGACCTGGTCATCTCCCTTCTCAGACAGCGGAGCTGCCCCGCCCACGAGCCCTGGCCACAGTCCCCCAGTGGAGCCGAGGGACCTTTTCCTGCTGGTTCCCCTGCACTTTGAGGTCACAGTCACCGGCTATTGTAAGTGACCCTAGCCGTCCACTAGGGGCGAAGTACTGAGTGTTTTTAAACATATTGTAATTTAAAATGGGAGTTGGTGTAGAGAAAGTATTAAGTTAGACAGGACATTCCTGAGCTCACAGCATAAATCTGTGGACACAAACCAGCTCAGGGGGGCCACTGCTCCCACCCTGGCCAGGGGCCCAGGGCACCCCGGTGACTCCTTGCTGGCACCAAGCCCTGTGCCTTGGCGTCTGCCGGGGCCCCAGCCATCCAGGCAGACAGCTGCAGGATCAGGATGGTGTATAATCCTGATTATGGAGATGCAGCCTGGCCAGCGAGCACGACCCCATTACACACCGAGACAGCTGGTGGCATGCACTCGAGAGAGGAGGGCCCACGGCGCCCGCTCCTCTCTCCCCGTCCCCCAGGACACCCCTGTGCCTGGGCCTCCGTGCTGGGCATCCCCAAGCTGGAGACTGGACGCCTGGGGTTGGCTCACCTGCTCAGACCCATGGAGAGCAGACCTCAGCCCCAGACAGTCCTTCCCCAAGCTGCCCCACCCCGTCCTGTCACCTGGGGACCCTCCCATCCACACTCATACACACTCAAGTTGCTGGGGTGCCAGGAACTCAGGTGGGGCACATCCAGGAGCAAGACTCACCCTGTTCCCTGAGGGAGGCTGGCTGGGAGGCCCCTGCCCTCGGCACCCCAATGCCCCACCCTCAGGCCAATCCACCTCTGCTGGCTCCAGAACCCATCCCCTGGCATTTAGTCCTGCTCACGGCCCCTCTGTGGTCCCCACGACCCTTAGTCAAGCTCAAGTCAGACCCCTAAACAGGCAGAGCCATGCTGCAGCCCCACACAGGCCTGTCCCCAGAGCCTGCCAGGCTGCTGCGCTGGCCCCACGGGAAGGGTTGCAGCCGGGGCTGGTCCATGCAGGTGGTCCCCTGGGAGCATCCCTGCAGGTCTCTAAGCCTCGGGCACCGGTCCAGGGTCTGGGACATGGAGCCTCTGAACTCAGACGAGACGCTGCACCCCCAGAGTCCCGTGTGCCTACCAGATTCACCCCATCCCACCACTAGCCGAGTGGTGCCACCCCCCCTCCCCCGCTTGCTCCAACCCCTCAGGCACATCGGACACCCAGTGGCCCCCACTCAGGCCCTGGCCCCTTGAGCCAAGCACAGAGCCCTCTCGGCAGAGCCGTCCACAGGGCCTTGGCCAGCAGGCCACAGACCGCCAGCCCTCCCCCACAGCTCAGCCAGTTCCCCCCGCCCTGCCTCAGCCTCCCCCCACTTGGCCCACAGGGTGGGCAGGGGCCGCACTCACCCAGCCACTCCCCCGCCATGCCTGGCCCCTGGCCCCGCTGCCTCTCCTCTGAGCCCGGAGCCTCCCCACGGGTGGGGGTGGCTGCAGCCCAGGGTGTCATCCATCCCTGTAAGTGATACTGGCGGGCAGTCGGAAGACGGGCCAGCAGCTCGCTCCTCCCTCCCGGGGGGCAGCCGGCTGAGGCCTCTGCTGCCGCGTTCCTGCCCGCCCTGCAGGGCCAGGCCTCCCCTCGCCACGGAGCCCCCCATGGTGCTGCCCTCAGCCCTGGACCCAGCGGGAGGGACCCAGCCGGAGGGACGCCAGATGCACGCCCGGGCGCCCCTGTAGCCGCTGGCCCCTCTGCTCCAGGAGCCTCGCTGCCTGCAGGCCCCGTTCACTCTGGACCGTCTGCAGGTGCTTAGGAGACGCGTGTTCATGCCCCGTCTCTAGCCACGAACTCCGGTTGCCCCGGCCACTTCTGAGCCCCCAGCTGCCTGTCCCAGAGCGGGGGTGGGGGGTTGAGGACCCACACTGCGGCCTGGGTCTCCACAGGACAGAGCCTGGGGGACAGCGCAGGGCCCCTCGAGATGTTACTTACTTGGGGCAGGTGGGGGGCCTGGGAGAGCCGGAGACGGGCAGTATGGGGGGCCTGGGAGAGCCAGAGACAGGCAGGATGGGGAGCTCTGAGCTTCTGGGGTCCCTGAGCCCCTCCTCACTGTGTTCAGGAGGTCAGAGATTCTGGGGGCTGAGGTGGAACAGAACAGATGTGAACACGAGGGGGGGGGGCGTGCAAGAGAGGAAACCTGAGGGCTGACAGCCAAGCAGAGGGGGTCATGGGGGGTGGAGGATGAAAAGGGGGTCATGAGGGACATGCAGGGGATGGAGGGGTTGTGGGGGAAATAGGGGACATTGGGAGTCATGGGAGGATGGAAGGGTCATGGCAGGTGTGGGGGGGAAGCTGCTTGGAGCAGAGGTGCCAGCCTGGGGGGCACCTGGCCCAGGACAATGTGACAGGATGGAGGGTGAGGATGTGCCGGGACCCGCCAGCCGTGGGGAGGACACGGGGCAGAGGCAGGCCCTCTGCTCCTTTAGCCGCAGGCCTGCCAACCGTCAAGGGCTCCCTGGGTGCTGCCTGGGGCTCGGGGGGGGGGGGGGGGGCTGTGAAGGCAGCGTGACTGCGGAGGCCACGCAGATGGCCTGGGGGAGGCGAGGGGACAGGCCCGTGGCCTCAGAGGCTGCCAGGCTGGTGCTGGGCAGCGGCGAGCGTGTGGGGGCGCTGGCTGCAGCGTGAGCAGGGGTGCCTGGCCACTCGGCCATGCCTGGCGGGGTGCAGAGCCATGTCACTTACATGGGTGGGCAGGGGGCCCTCGGCTTCCACGGTCCCTGAGCCCCTCCGGCTGGAGCTCAGGACGCCAGAGGCCCTGGGGGCTGGCAGACGGGGTGGACGTGAGGAGGGGACAGGGAGCCCTGCCTCCCGCCTGGGCCTGTCTCAGGGAGGAGCCCCCTGAGGTACAAGTGAGGCCTGAGCCAGTGGAGACAACTCACACGGGGGCTCAGCTGCCCGTGGCTCTCAGGGTCCCCTGGAGAGGGCTGCAGGCCCTTTGAGGAGGCCCCACAGCCACAGGGCCGGCTACTTGCATGGGCCAGGCAGGGGGCCAATGGGAGCCGGACAGGGCAGGGCAGGGGGCCCTCGGCCTCACAGGCCAGAGCCCTCCTCACCGAGCTCAGGAAGTCGGGGCCCGGGGGCTGGTGGACAGACAGACGTGACCAGGAGGCAGGCAGGGAGGGGGTTGCAGAAAGAAAGTGCAGAAAAGAGAGGAGGTGGGAGTGAAGCTGGAGAACCCCAACCCAGGAGTGTCTAGAGTGGTCCCATCACAGCAGGTGTTGAGGTCCACGCAGCGGGTGGGGGCCTGCGTGTGCCCGGGCGGGGGCAGGGGCGGGGGAGGCTCGGGGCTCCTCTGTGTACAGGGCCTTCAGTGCACAGGTTGGGGTCAGATTTGGGAAGCAGCGGCCTGACCCTGCCCCCCCCCGCAAGTCCCCTCCCCCCAGCAGGCCAGGACCAGAGCCCCCACAGGCCAGATGGGGGCTGGCCTCCATGCTGCTGGCTCCAGCCTGTCTCCGTCTCCGTCAGCCACTCACAAGCCCATCTCCCTGCTCAGGCCCATGCTCCCCTCCGTGCTGGGCAGCCGCCATGGAGGGTGGGCCTGGCCTTCGCCCCCAAGCTGCAGCGTGGCCAGCAGGGGTGCCCTGGGCAGCCCCAAGGGCACTGGTGTGTGTCAGGAGGTCCACAGCCCCACGTGGGGTGTGGCCTGGGCTGGGGCCTGGGCACAGATCCCCGCCCCCACATCGAGGCCACGGAATCGCACAGAACCTGGCAAGGCCCTCGACTGCTCGTCCACTCAACTGCCAGCCAGACGGCCATGACCTTAAGGAACCTGAAGAAATTTAGCAAATTCAACTGTGAACTGGTTTCTCCTGTGAAAACTGGGCGCCTGGCCCTGGGGTGAGTTGGGGGACGGGTGGGGAGGGCGGAGGGCAGAAGCCTCCTCACTGTCAGGGTGCCCGCCTGGCAGGCGCGGCTGGAGGCCTGCACACCCGGACAGCCTGGCAGGCGGGCTGGGCCCGATCGCTGTCGCTGCACGGCCAGCCCCAGGGACGTCCGAGTCAGACCCTGACCAGGACCCGCCGCTGACGCCCCTGCCGGTGGGGAGTGCACGCACCTTTCGTGTCCTCGTCCTCTATGGTGGTGTGCGCGCTGTCCGATGAGTCCTGGGGAGACAGGGAGGCAGGGTCAGCACTCGGCTGCCCCACCCGCCAAGGGGCCTGGGGTCAGGGGCCTGGGAGGCGCCCTTGCAGGACCCAGAGATGCACAGGCAGCCGGGCTCGTGTGACCCCAGGTCCCACCGCCCACGTCCCAAGGCAACGCCATGTGCGCGGTGGGAAGACTCTGCTCAGACGGCTCAGAGCGGAGGGAGCCAGGCCTGAGAGTCCCGAGGCTCCTGGACGGGGGGCGGCACCCAGAGTGGGAGGGAACCTGGGTGGCTGGCAGAGTGTGGGGCGCCCACACCTCCTTCCCGGCCTCCTGTCTAGCCGGCCTGGTCCACCTCGCCAGTGGCCTGGGAGCCCAGATGCTGCCCTTCAGATAACAAAGCAGCTGCCACCCACCCATCACCAAGCTCCCAGGCAGCCTGCTCCCCAGAAGGGGTATCCCCACAGGGTCCCGAGGGACCCCGTCCCGCCTGGCGAACGCGGCTCCGGGCCTTGGGCCAACAGGAGGGTCTGCCTGTCAAGACCCGGGACTCACGCCACAGCCCAGAAGGCTGTCCGGGAGCCCCCTCCCTGCGCCGGGTGTGAGGACCTGCAGGCCCCAGGGCACCCTGGTCAGCCAGTGAGGCAAAGGCCATGGGCTCTGGCCCAGCCCATGGCGGGGTTGGGGGCCTCTGAGGAGCCCATGGCTGGGGGGGATCCAGCTGCAGGCCTGGGTTCGGGTTGGGGGTGCCTGTCCTGGAAACAGCTGGGGACCCGCCACCCGAGGGCCAGCCCTTCCCTGCCCTTGAGATGCGGGTGGGATGGGAGCCGATGAGGAGCGGAGAGGAGCAGAGCGGCCAGCCCGCAGGAAGCTCTGGCAGCAGGTGAAGGTGGGCGGGGTCACCGGTCTGGGCGGCCCTCCCCCCAGGCCCCGCACTCAGCCAGGGCAGTGGACAGGGTGGACGGCAGACAGGAGGTCATGAGAAGTGGCCGCTCTGCAGTCATGGAGCCTGGGTCCCTGGCCCCAGCGGGATGGGAGCGATGCCTCCAGGGCAGTGCCCGGGGCCTTCCCGGCAGGAGCAGCGGACACATGGGCTCCGTGCTGCCTCGAGATGGGTTTTGGGACACCTGCCCCCACAGGGTCAATGCCCAGCCCTTCCCCGGGGCCAGGGGTCTGCCTCCGGCCCCCACAGAAGCTCCCTGAGGGTGAGGGCAGTACCTTGATCCCGTCCACAGGGTTATGAATGACGGTGGTTTGAGGTTCCTACAGAGGAAGGAAGGAGGGAGTGAGAGGAGGGGCCGCTGGCACCCAGCAGAGCCGAGGAGCAGGGGGACAGGCAGCGATGGAGGGGGCCAGGGGGAGCAGCTGCGAGGGGGAGGGGCAGCGATGAGGCAGACGTGAGGCCCGGGCCGTGAGGATGCAGAGCTTGGCCAGGGGGGTGGGCGGGGGGAGAGGCTGTAGGGCCGGCTGCGGAGGGGCTGGCGTGGGGCCTGGGCTGGAAGACGGCGTGGGATGCAGGGGCGGGGGGGTGGAGGAGCCCAGGACGGGCTGGCTGTGAGGCCGCATGGGGCTTCCTCTGCTGGGCCTGGACGCCCACATGTCCTGGTCGGCCCTGAGCAAACCCAGCCTTCCCGGGGCGTCAGGTGGGCTCTTGTACCCGGCTGCCCTGAGCCTCCTGCCTCCTGAGCATCACTGAGAACAGGTGGACCAGCAACCCCACCTCTATGGCCACAACCCGACCACCAGCTGTGGTGTCTCCTGGACAGGACCCCCCACCCCAGGTGAGGCCTAGAGCCCAGGATCCCCCCCAGCAGGGGGTCCCCATGTTCGCCAGCACCTCCCCTCCCTCCGGGCAGCCACAGGCCAGCAGGGCCCGTCCCACATCTGCCCAGGGTCTCTGCCTCCCTGCAGATCACGGTGGGCACAGAGACCAGCCCACCCCGCCCAGGGAGGCTGTGCGTGGTACCTGCTGCCACCGTCTCCCTAGAGCCTGCGCTGGGCAGCACCTGAGCCTGGTGTCGTGGCCCCTGGTCCCCTGTGGGCCTCTCACCACGGACCCACCAGTGAGGCAGGAGTTCGCCTGTCTGGCTGCTGAGCGGGGCTCTTGACATAGCCTCACCCCTCACCCCTCACCCCTCACCCCACCCCCAAGGAGCAGCGGGGGTGGGGGGGCCGTGTCATCCGTCAGACCGGCCGGAGCTGGGCCCCCACTGCCGACCAGGCCTCCTGAGGGGTGGCCGCCTCAGGCCCGGGTCCGGGCAGGAAGGGGGCTGCGGGCCCAGTACCAGGGTGGCTGGAGGGAGCGTCCCCTTGGGGCTGGTGGCGGCGGCGCTGTTCTTGGTGCTGTTGGTCGGGGTCTGCAGCAGAGACAGAGGGGGCGTCAGGGGGAGAACGAGGGCCTCCCTCAGGTGCCTGGGGAGCCGGGAGCGGGGAGCCGGGAGCCGTGAGCCAAGAGCCGCGAGCCTCACCTTCACGCCGTCGGCCTTCTTGGTGAGCATGCTCTTGGCTGCTGCGTGGGGAGGAAAAGGCACCGTGAGGGGCCGCCCTCTGCAGCCCCCGCATGCGTGACCTCGGGGTCCACCAGGTGCCGGGCTCCCCAAGAGTGAGGCAGGGGTGGCTGCCCGGGGGCCGCGATGTCTCCCCCAATGGGGGACCCTGGCTGCGGGGGGCAGGCCGTCTGTGGGGAGGCAGGCGGGTGCCCAGGTGAGGTCACAGGATGGGCGCCAGGCTGTGTGGCGGACATCCCTCCTCACTGCATGTTGGCAGCTGGTGGGGCTGCAGCTGGCTGCCCACAGGTGGGGCCTGTCCCCACCCCAGGTATCCCTCTGCCCGGCCTCTGGGCCCCCGCGGCCGCAGCCCGAGGCACCTCTCCTTTGGGGCCTCGTCCTGGCCTTGCCCGGCAGCTGGAGCTGCCACCTCTGTGCCCACCTACCCGGGCTCCCGGGCTCCCAGTGAGGTCAGTAGGATGACATGCGTGGGAGAGGGTCAAAGGCCACCTGTACCCCAGGCTGCCCCCGCCCCTCCGACGCCCAGGCCTGGCCGCTTCCCCGCCCCCAGGCCCCGCGGAGGTCAGGGCAACCTGGGCCTCCCCGCTGCCCTCCACAGAGGCCCATTTTAACGACAGAACTGCAGAGAAGGAAGTCAGCTTACCTCGCACAAAGGTGAGGGGAGGGGAGGGCGTGAGGGGGAGAGAGAAAACAGGTTTTTGTCAGTTCAGGCAGAGTCAGCCCGCCCAGGACCACAGTGTGCCCTGCCCCCTGCCCCCACCAGTCAAGCAGTGCCCAGCAGGCCGGCGGGTGTGGTTAGAGAAGCAGGGAGGGTCCCTCACCCGGGCCTGGGCGGCCCCGCAGGCTGGCCAGCTCTGAAGGGTTGCCTGTCGCAGGGACTGGGACAGGGATGGGTCGGGACGGGGTGGGGGGGGCACAGAGGCCTGGGAGCAGCCACCTGCTGGGAGCCGAGACAGGCACTTAGACCCAGAGAGTGTGGGTCCCCTGCTGGCAGCATTAGCACCCCCCGGACCCCCAGGCCCTCTGAGGCAGAAACTTGGGGGTATCTGCTCAGCAAGCCCTCTGCGGGGGACCCGATACTGCTCAGTTGGGAAAGGGGTCAGGACCAGTGCAGTGGCCAGCGGGCACCAGGACCTCCTGGCTGCCCTCGGGCTCTGCGTGGGGACAGGGGTCAGAGGCCCTCAGGCTCTCCGAGCAGCTGCACTGGACATGGCTTCCTGCTCCCCAGGGTCTGTCCCTCCTCTCACAAGCTCCCCTCTGAGCCCGGCCCGCGTGGCTCAGTGGTGAGCATTGACCTATGAACCAGGAGTCACAGTTCGATTCCTGGTCAGGGCACATGCCTGGGTTGTGGGCTCCATCTCCAGTGTGGAGCGTGCAGGAAGCAGCTGATCAATGATTCTCTCATCGCTGATGTTTCTCTCCCTTCCTCTCTCTAAAAGCAATTAATATCTATACATATATGTTTCTTTTTTTTTTGGTTAATCCTCGTCCAAGGAAATTTTCCCATTGATTTCTAGAGCGAGTACAAGAGAGAGGGAAAGACAGAGAGAAACACTGATGTGAGAGAAATACATCGATTGGTTGCCTCCTGCATGCGCCCGGACCAGGGCCCAGACTGGGAAGGAGCCTGCAACTGAGGTACGTGCCCTTGACCAGAATCGAACCCATGACCCTTTGGTCCGCAGGCCGACACTCTATCCCAGTGATGGCGAACCTTCTGAGCTCGGCGTGCCAGCATTTTGAAAAACCCTCACTTAACTCTGGTGCCGTGTCACATATAGAAAGGTTTTGATATTTGCAACCAGAGTAAAACAAAGATTTATATTTTTGATATTTATTTTATATATTTAAATGCCATTTAACAAAGAAAAATCAACCAAAAAAATGAGTTCGCGTGTCACCTCTGACACGTGTGTCATAGGTTCGCCATCACTGCTCTAACCACTGAGCAAACCGGCCAGGGCGTATATATACATATATATTTTTTAAAGCTTCCCTCCCAGCATCCTCAGGGCAGAGTTGAACCAGCAGCCTGCCTCTTCTTGGCCTCCCTCTGTGAGAAGCGCTGTCTGCTGGGTCCCAGGGAGTGAAGGACCCCAGACCGTCCTTCCCTCGGCCCCCCCACCCCCCAGGCCCTCCAAGGGCCGGGCCAGGGCAGCCGGACTCAGGACGCTGACAGACACCCTGGCGGCCCTGCCCTCAGGCATCCGAGGACCAGAAATTCCTGGGGCCGCGTGGAAACCTCCCTCAGCGACGGAGGCCCAGACAGCCCTGCAGGCACAGCGTGGGTCCCCCCAGCAGGCTCGTCCCGAGGAGCACAGCCCTCGCCTCCCGTCACCTCGCCTCTGCTCCGGGACAAGGGAGCCCCACTCCCCTCAAGGGAAGTGGTCTGAGGTGGCGCCAGGGCTCCCTGTCCGGCTGGCTGACCAGCTGGGCCTGCAGGAGAGGCATCAGCCGTCTCAGAGGCACTTGCCCTGGGGCGGAGCACGCTGACCCCACTCTCCGATTTGAGATGGGGGCGGGGCACCAGCCTGGGCCCCGGCTTTCCCGGCTTTCCCGGGCTCTGAGTCAGGCAGCGCAGCCTGTGCTGCTCCCGGCAGAGACGGAGTCGGTTCTGCCCAGTCTTCCCTGAGGGCAGCTCGCGGCCCTGGGTCAGGCCCAGGCAGAGGGTCCCCTTCAGTCCCTGATTCTGTGAAACCCCTCGGGACGCAGCGGCGAGCGCCCGGCCTGGGGTTTACCCAGTTCCCCTCCAGCCCCTGTGCCAGCCCGTCTCCTAGCAACGCTGTCCCAAGCGACTCTGAACCCCGCTGAGTCCCGTCTACACCAGCAAAGGCCCGGGAAGCTCATGCGTGGTTACCCGGCAGCAGCCAAGGGCCTGAGCACACGCACCCCAGGCCCTGGGAGAGACGAACCACCCGCCACCGCCCGCAGCTGCCCAGTCCCGCCCAAGGCCATGCGGGACCCAACCGGGGCTCTGACGAACGGCAACGTCTCTACAAAGACACCCAGACTTCCGCGGGCTGAGGGTGCCGTCACCCACGGAGAAGCCAGGCCTCGGAACTGAGACACCCCCACCCCCACCCCCACCGCGTCTGCCGGGGTCGGTGAGGCCAGGGAGGGCCCTCGGTCCACAGGCCAGTCCGGTCACGGGGCAGCCATGCTGGTCCCCCCACATGCACTGACCTCCCCCCGACAGTGGCCCCCAGTGCCCAGGATGGAGCCCCCATGCACGCGGCTCATGCAGGAGGCGGCGTTGTGGGCGAGCAGGTAGGGCAGCTCCAGCGCCCGCCTCACTCCTGTGCCGGTCAGCAGGGCTGCACCGGGAGCCTCTGGCCTCAGGTTCCCTGCTCCCTAACCGCCTGCCCAGGTGCTTCAGAAGGACCCAGAGAATGAAGCACTGGACAGCCCTTTGGGGCCCCTGCGTGTCCCCCTGAGGCTGGCCCCGCCCCGGTGCCCAGAGGAGGCAGCTGGAATGCTGGGTCCTCTTTCAGGGAGCTGGGGCTGCCCAGGCTGTGGATCGGAGCAGAGCAGGGTGGGTGAGCAGGAGGGAAAGGGCCTGGGCCTGGGAGGGGCCCTCAGCGGTGGCCCTGCCCTCAGCGGGCACCTCCCGCAGCTGGTGCTGGGCTGTGGGCCCATGAGGAGGACGAGGTCGGCAGCCCTCAGGGTCTGGCCAAGGCCACAGGTGGGCGGGAGCAGACCTGGGTCTCCTGGGAGCAGGTTGGCAGAACCAGTGTCTCCCCTCACGGTTGGGGACGAGGGGAGAGGGCCCTTGTAGAAAGAAGCAGGAGGCCTTCAAAGTCGTTCTCGGGGCGGCTCGGGCCCCCCCGGGGCTCACAGGGCCGACTTGGCACAGACCCCCTGCAGCATGTGAGCAGTGGAGCCAGTGTATGTGCGTGTGGGGTGTGGGAGGGGCGGGGGGAGAGGGGCACAAGGCCAGGGGACAGATGGCCGTAGGCTCTTGGGGCGGCGTCTCTGCCTCTGGACCGCCTTCTGAGGACCCCCCATCAGCACCCAGACCCCCTGTGGGTCAGGGTCTCTCTGAATGAGGATGGACAAGGGGGACGGAGCTTCCGAAGCAAAGAGCTCTGGCCAAAGGGGTCTCCCGACCCCCAGACTCAGGGACCAGGGCTGGGGGTTCAGGCAAATGCACGTGGGCACGGCTGAGGGGCCTAAGGCGCGGGGCTGTGGGGTGCGTGGCGGGAGCGGGGCTCCCTGCCCGGGGGCTGCGTGCAGCCAGGGGAGCTCCATGCGGCTGCGGACGCGGGTCCAAGCGTCTACCTTGTTCCACCAGCCCCATGGTGGCGCCGGAGGCCGCGGTGGACATTGTGGCCGGAGCGGTGGTCTGTCTGCCCACTGTGAGCACCGGGTTAGAAGGGGTGGGCGGCAGACGGGGCGAGGTGAGGGAGAGAAGAGACAAAGGAAGCAGAGAAGGTTAGAGTCTGGCTGGGGCGCGGGGTTCCAGGGCCCCTCACAGGAGGACGACAGGTAGAGACTGACATTTGGAGCAGGCGCCTCCCTCCTTAGGGACCCACGGGCGTCTCGGGGGACAGGGCGCCCCGTCAGGGCTGATGGGAGGGGGCCGCCCGCAGCACGGCCACAGCAAGGTCACGGGAGGGTGCCGGGTGCAGACAGACAGTGAGGACGGACCACAGACGCCGCACACACAAGCCACAGGACGGGTGAGGCTGTCCCTGGTGGGCCTGCCGAGCCCTTGGCCTCGGGTCCCGGCCCCCCCACCCCCAGCGGCCGCACGCCCTGCCCCACCACCTCCGCGACCTGGGCCGGCCACAAGCACGCCCGCAGCTGCTGAGGCCGCCTGCTCTCGCCACACAAGATGGTGCTCAGATTCAGCACAACGACAGGCCACAGAGGCGCTGACCTACGGACGCCCGGACAGACACAGAGCTGGGGTGTCGGGTGGGGACACAGACCCAAACGCGGGGCAGCTGGGGGCCAGCCACCGTGCCTGGGAGGCCTCGGGGCAGCAGGGGGCGGGAAGGGCGGGGCTGGGGGTCACGGAGCTGCCGGAGGAGGCTGTCTCACCTGAGAAGTTCCGGGTGGCCAGCATGGTGGTGAGGATGGCGCCCTGGGGAGAGACATGGGCTGGGGCCGGGCATCTGCTGGCCAGGAGCCCCAGGCCTCAGCCCACAGGTGTCCGGCAGGATTCACCAGCTGCAGACCTGCCCACAGCCTCAAAAGGGCCCCAGGACTCCAGGGCCCCTCGGGGGGGCCTCTCCCCGACAGGCACAGCCCCGTGTGCTGGGCCACCCGGGGTACCCCTGCCTGCAGCAGCCTGTGGTGGGGCCGGGCCGTCTCCCTCCTGTCCCCGCCAGGAAGCTGGGGACGCCCTCACACCCAGAGCCCTCGGGGCGAGAGGCTTGGGCGGGGCCCGCGGGCACCTGGGTGTGGTTGCCAGGGTAGCAGGGGCCACACCGGGCCTTGCAGCCTCCCCCCTCCCAGCACAGGGCCCTCGAGGGGCAGGCGCCTCACCTTGAGCTTCCTCCGCGCGTTGAACTTCTTCAGGCACTCCACCGTCTCCTGCCTGTGCATCATGGAGGCCACTGTGGAGCGTTGCTGTGGGGACAGGGGCGGGGGCTCAGGGGGGGAAGGGGCTCAGGGGGGCAGGGGGCTCAGGGGGACTCGGGGGATGGGGGATCAGGGGATGGGGGATCAGGGGACGGGGGGACTCGGGGTAGGGGGCTCAGGGGGGCAGGGGGCTCAGGGGGGCAGGGGGCTCAGGGGGGCAGGGGGTTCAGGGGTAAGGGGGCTCCTGGGGGACTCAGGGGACGGGGGCTCAGGGCAGCCGGGCACAGGGACAGGACCAAGGTCCGCCCACCCCGGAGGCCGAGGGTGCGGGACTTACGCAGACCCACGGGTGCTTCAGCGCCTCGTGCGCGGTGATGCGCTTGGCGGGGTTGATGGTCAGCATCTGGTTGATGAGGTTTTTGGCTTCGGGTGTGACTGTGTCCCACTCGGGGGAGGGGAACTGTAGGAGCAAACGGTGCTCAGGGGGGTCGGGGGCCCCCCAGCAAGGGCCGGGCTCTCCGAGGGCGGGGTGGGGGGCACTCACGTCGTAGGCGCCGGCCTTGATCTGCTGGTACAGCTTGTGCTGGTCCTCGTCCCAGAAGGGCGGGTAGCCCACCAGCAGGATGTACAGGATGACCCCTGGAGCCGAGGGCAGGCTCAGCGCGGCCACGCCAGCCCACCCGCGCCCGGGGCCCAGTGCCAGGAGGTGTGAGTGTGTGGCCGGCAGGGGTGGGCCCTCAGCCAGTTCCCAGCCCCGGCTAAGGGGGTCCTGCCTGAAGCCAGGCAGCCCCAGGGAGGCACCGGGGTCCTGGGCTCCCCACTGGCAGCCCAGCCGTGTCGTTTTAGAGACCCTCACAGCCCCTCAGCTCACCCCCATCACAGGGCGGTCTGCACGCCCCCCCGAGCCCATGATCACTGGCACAGGGGGTCTGAGCAGCAGCTGGGGCCCCAGGTCCAGTCTGGGCGGGAGGGGTTCCAGCTGGGGCAGCCCCCGGGGGCTCTCGTCTGCTGCCCCCACTACTCCCATCTGCCCGCTCCCCCCGCCAGCCCACTCCCGGCCTCACCACATGCCCAGATGTCCACCGGTTTGCCGTAAGCCTCCTTGCGCAGGACCTCCGGGGACAGGTAGCCCGGTGTGCCCGCGAACCCTAGCGGGAAGGGAGGGGGTGTGAGGGCCTGGGGCAGCTGAGCCCTCCCTGCCCCCCGGCCAGCCCAGCAGGCACTTACCAAACCATGCCTGCTGGTCCCCCTGCACCTCGATGGCTAGGCCGAAGTCTGCCAGCTTCACGGCCGCCCCCTTGCACTTGCTGGCCAGGAGCAGGTTCTCGGGCTGCAGGGATCCCCAAGGGGACAGAGGGACAGAGGGTGCAGATGGGCGGGCAGGCCTGACCGCTGTGGGTGTCTCCCGGCACTGCTGACACCTGTGGGCCCTGGGCCTGCACCCACAGCCCTGGCGCAGGGACAAGAGCCTCACAGGGACAGGCTGGTTCCGAGTGCAGCTGGGATCCCGAGACCCAGGACGGGAACTGGGGCGCTGGACCAGAGCAAGTGCACCCGCAAGCCCTGGCAGGGGCACCATCGCCGAGGGGCTCCTCCCGCCCCGGGTCTGGCTGCTGGGAGACATGGGGGGTGCCTGCTGGGGCTCGGGCACTTGCTGCAGGACGGTGACCCCCAAGTGCAGAGGGATGACCACGGCCCCGAGGCCGGGCAGTGCAGGACGCCGCCCACCACGCGCATGGCTCCCAGGTGGGCAAGGCCGGCCTCCCGCTCAGGAAACAGCACCCTTGCTCAGCGGAGGGGCTGCGGAGCCAGGCGGCTGCTGCCCTCTGACCGGGACCTCGGCCCGACCCCAGGGGGGGGCCCTTCCCACCCGTTTCCCTCTCCCACCTCCCGCCGTGGTCAGCGCTCAGAGCTCCTGGCTGCTGGACGGCTCGCCCCCGACTGCCGGGCGCCCTCCCCACAGCCAGCCCACTGAGACCACACGGCCACGGGGACGAGGAACGGGCTCTGTGGACAGTGGCTCCCCCGGGCCATCGACCCTCCGTCCACCGGGAGGTCGTGGTGGAGGTCGTCCCGGCCTGCCGTGAGCGAGGCCTGCCCAGGGCTTCCGAGCGCCTGGAACCCACCTGGACGTGAGTGGGGCCACCCTCAGGAGAGCCTGGTCTCGGTCACAGGCCCGGAGCCCAGCCCCCGAACCTTCCGTCCCCTTGATTCTGAAAGACCCTGAAACTGCTGCCCTCGGAGCCTCTGGGACCTGCTCCCACAATGTCCTGTTCGGCGCAGATGAGCTCAAGCTCCTCACAGGCTTGGACGCTCCCGTCACACACGTCAGTGCCACCAAGAAAGGCCACCGCCACCCCAGGTTGGCGGCTCTACCTGTGACCTGAGGTGTTCGTGTCGAGCGTGCCCGGCCCCCACAGCCAGCGAGTCAGGCAGGGGACCCCACCGCTGGGCACCCGCGTCAGGAGGTCTGTGGCGGAGGCTGGAGCTGAATCTTAGGGTCACAGCCCCCCCAGGAATGAGGACACTCCCTCCACTGCTGGTCCCGCTCCCCTGCCTCCCCGCAGCCCCGAATGGTGAAAACGCTCTGCTGACCCCATGCAGGCTCCTGCCGTGGCCAGAGCAGCCCACAGCACGACCAGGGAGGGGCCCAGCCAGGTCCCACGGGGAGCTACCGCCACCTGCCTTCCCCTTTCCAGAGAGGGTTCTGTGTGCGCCCCCCTGCCCCGCCCCCCACCTCCATATTCTGCCTGGGCCCCACCGCCCCACCCCCCACCGCCCCACCCCCCACCGTTGGCTATGAATGCTGGGGTCCAGGAAGGAGGCGGGACTCCTACTCTTAGAGGCCCCCAGTGAGGCCCTTCAGAGGAGACAGTGACGGGGGTGGGGCAGGTGCACCAAGCAGACACGTGGGAGGACAGGGACCCTGGGGCATGCACAGAGGGAGCCGGGCACAGGTCTGTCCCAGAGCACCCCACAGACACACACGTGCGCACACGCACATTCAGGGCCAGCTCCAAGGGAAGGCTGCCTCACGCCACCAGGGGGCCTCTCAGCAGAAATGACAGCCCAGGGCCCCCAGCCCAGAGAAAGCTGGGGTCAAAGAACAGAGGGGCAGGGGGAAGGAGGGGGTGCGGAGGGGGAGGGAGGGTGACCCCTCTGGAAGGGTCTGGGGCACTTGGCCCAGGGCTGAGCTGAGGCCATAGGGCGTCAGGGACAAGGCTGGACGTTGGCAGAGACCCCGGGGCTGGCACCTCACCCTCTGCTCCTGTGGCGTCAGCCCCACAGGCAGCACCTCCTGTGTCCCACCGGCCGGGTCTGCATCTCAGTCCAGCCCAGAGAGTGAGCCCGAGGGGACCTGTGCTCATGGTCTGATTTTTTTTTAATTTTATTGATTTTTTACAGAGAGGAAGGGAGAGGGATAGAGAGTTAGAAACATCGATGAGAGAGAAACATCGGTCAGCTGCTTCCTGCACACTCCCTACCAGGGATGTGCCCGCAACCAAGGTACATGCCCTTGACCAGAATCGAACCTGGGACCCTTGAGTCCGCAGGCCAACGCTCTATCCACTGAGCCAAACCGGTCAGGGCTCATGGTCTCATTTTTGACAACCATCCCCTCAGCCCGGAGCCTGGAGGTGTTATGAGGGCTGTGTGCAGACACCCCATGCGCGCGCGCACACACACACACACACACACACACGGTCACACACACGCACACGTCTCACACGCATAACCACGCACCTTCATGCACGTACAGGTCTGTGCTCACAGGGGCCCTCAGGCCTCTGGTCCAGGACATGCAGGTACAGATAGGCCCTGGTGCGAAGTGCGGGCGGCGGGGACTCACCTTGAGGTCCCTGTGCACGACCCCCATCTGGTGGCAGTGGAGGACGGCCTCCAGGATCTGCTGGATGCAGTGGCTGCGGCAGAAGCACGTGCATTAGTGCAGGGCCTGCAGGGCGCGGGGAGGGGGGGGGGGCTGGACGCTGGGGTGAGGCCCCCGCCTGGCGGGGCCCAGGAGGCAGGGAATCAAGGCACCGTCTGCCTCACAGAGCAGAGCCGAGAGCCGAGAGCCAGGAGGGGCCTGGGGTGCTCCCCTCGCCCCAGGTCAGTGCAGGTTTGGCAGGCCCTGTGCCCCCCCCATGCCAGGCCCCTCCCAGGCTCATGCCGGCCAAGCCTGACCCTGAGCTGGGCCCTCTGGGAGGGAGGCCACGGTGGAGGCCACACCCTGCAACACAGCCTGGGGGGAACCCAGGCAGGAAAGGGCAGAGGTGAAAGGGCAGAGGTGAAAGGGCAAAGAGAGAGAGGGAGTGGGCAGTGCTGATGCTGCAGCTCTCAGTCACTCCTGGGCCAGAGCAGGTGCCACTCATCCCAGTAAATTAGACCCCCCCCACTACCACCCCAACTCAGCTCTGGGCATCGGGCCAGACGCTCTCTGGGGACCGGCAGGCACCACCCAGGCCCTGCAGGCTCCCTCCAGGTCAGGCTGCCCAGCGCCGCCCGCTGTGTTCAGTGTCCCTGCGTAAGACCCGCCCCCCAAGAGTCCAGCAGCCCCCAGGGCGAGGCACTGGCCCTCAGGGTCCCCCCACCCCGGGTCTCCCTCACAGCCCCTCCAAATGGGGGGAAGGAGGGCAGGCAGACCCCCCAAGACCCCTCCTGCCACTGCTGGGCCCTGTGGAGTGACCGAGGGTCAGCTCGGGGCTGGGCTTTGTTTTCTAATGACCAAGGAGGCCAAGCAGTGGGGGCCAGCCCTCTCCTCCAAAAGCTGTGGCCACACCTAGGTACCACCAGCCACTGCACGGAGTCCCCCATGGAGTCCCCCCACCCCCAAGCACCTCAGCGATGCCCTTGGTGGAAGTTGTGGGTCAGAGCAGCCAGGCCGAGACCTGCGGGAGGCAGCCCCCACCCCACTGGGCCCCAGGCTCTCCCTCCTGCCCATGCCCCTCCTACAACACCCTCATCTGCCTGGCACAGCCCTGTCTGTATCCCCAGCCCCTGTCCAGCAGCACCCACCCCGCTGACCTGTCACTGCAGGCCCCCCAGGGCTGACCCAGCCCACGCTGGCCCGGACCTCCTTCCCGGGGGAGCAGCGCTCAGTGAGGCCTGAGGAGCTCTGAGCTCAGGACGGGCTGCGGGGAGGAGGCCGAGGCCCCACAAAGCCCCCAGGATGTGCCAAGGAGGACGGGGCACGGGCTCTCCCAGTCCCCAGGGCCCTCGCTCACAGACCCAGTGCTCCTTCACCCCACACGGCAGCACCCGCACCGGCCGGGTGACCCCCGCTGACCAGCCTTGCCCTGCTCTGCTGCTGCCAGACCCTGGCTCTGCCCCGGGTGGGGGTATCTGCGTGCCCCGCTGTCCTGAGGAGCCCGACCTTCCTGCTGGGACCAGAGGCCTCACTGCCCAGCCTCTGTGCCTCCAGCGCTGTCCAGGCCCCGCGGGGACCTTCAGCCCTGACCTGCCCGCAGCTGCAAATGGGTCTCTGCTTTGGGCAAATGGACGAGTGTCTTCACGCCAGAGGCCCCGCCCTCCAGGACGCCTGTGGCATCTCCGTGCCGGGCATCCTCGTCCTCGAAGATCCCACGGTGCCTGGATTCCCTGCCTCCTGTGGCCCCGCCAGGCGGGGGCCTCACCACGCTGTCCCCACGCCGTCCTGGGCGACTGGTCCTGTGGGCATCGGGCGGCATCCAGCCGCTGACTGAGGCCGCGGTAACTGTCGGACCCGTTCTCTCTTGTCCTCAGCCTTGCAGGTGTTCCCCAAAAGTCTGAAGGGCCCACGCTGCCTGCACAGCTGCCCTCGGGGTAGCGTGGATGTGGGCTTCGCCCTGCCCCCCTCCGGGTTCCCTCCTGGGGCTTGGGCTCCCGCTGAGCAGGCACTGCGTCTGCACTCTCCCAGCACCAAGGACTGGCCGGTGCCGCCGACATCCAGGCCTGCATGCTGCCGTCCACCGTCCTGCAGGCCCCGCTCGGTGCACCCGGCCCCCTGGGCAGGTAGGACCCAGACTTCCCTGGCTTCACCCCAGGCTCCCAAGGGCTGGACAGAACACGGTGCCCCGTGCCCACGGGCAGTGCTGAGCCGTCTCGGGCTGGCTCTTCCCAGCGTCTCCCCAACGTGCGAGTCCTGTCTGCGGCCTGTGGGTGCCCAGGACATCCCCGGCCTGGGGAGCAGCCCATCCCGACAGCCAAGTCCGGGGACTTCTGGGGACGGCTCCCGGGACCCTCTCACCTTGCTCTCGCCCTGGACTGACCGCCAAGCTGAGACCACGGCCGGGAACATGAGGCCGCCTGGCCATGGCCTGCCACGGGGTCCTGCCTTCTTCCCGGCTCGTGCACAGGCCCCTCTTCCTCGTGGGCCCTTTGTCATGTTCCGAGCACCACACGAGGGCGCCCATCGGACATAGGCCCTGGGGGGGTCACAGGTCAGGGAAGGCCTGCCCGGTCTGGCTGGGGCTCCTGCCTCAGCACAACCCCAGGGGACACGCAGCCCTCCCAGGACGGGCTTCTCCCCATGATGCGCGAGGTGACTTTCGTGACTTTCAAAATTGTTCCCAAGAGGCGTCCCAGACGCTGGCCAGGTCCCAGGCGTGTCCTCACGGTTCTGGGTTCCTCTCCACGCCAGCAGCCGGCATCCAACGGCCCCTCCCCATCTCACGAGCCATCTTGCTTTTTAGGGTTTTAAAACTGGGCTGTAAACACTTTGAACGCTGTTTCCCAGGTGTGATAAGAGACGCTTGGCTTCCTCCTCCGAAATGAAGAATCCCGCCTCCTCGGTGGGAAGAGGTCACAGAACCGCTCCCTCGGGGCCTCCCTCCCCCAGGGGCCCCCCCGGGGCCCACACGAGGGCGCCCATCGGACATAGGCCCTGGGGGGGTCACAGGTCAGGGAAGGCCTGCCCGGTCTGGCTGGGGCTCCTGCCTCAGCACAACCCCAGGGGACACGCAGCCCTCCCAGGACGGGCTTCTCCCCACGATGCGCGAGGTGACCCCCAGACTCCATCCTGACCCAAAGCACCAACACAACAAACACCGGTCTCCCCTGGGGCCCAGGACCCCTGGAAAGAGGCACAGAGGGTTTCCCCACGGGATGGCTAGGAGCACCCCTCCTCCTGGTCACCCTCCTCCCGGTCTGCCTCTGAGAGGAAATTGGGCATCGCGGGGGGGGGGGGGGGGGGGCCCAGCACAGAGCCCCCTCCCCCGGGCCAGTTCCAAGGGACCCCAAGGCGTTCCCAGGAGTGAAGGGGTGAGGCCTGGAGGGAGGGGCAGGTGAGCAAAGGGAGGTGATTGGCTTGTGGGGCAGGTCAGAATGTGGGCGGGGCCCTGTGGGCACCAGGGAAGAGGCAGGGGGGTGGTCCTGTGGGTGTGGTTGGAGGTGGGGGTGGGGTGGGCATGGCGTGTGGGGGTGGTCGGTCAGCAGCATGCCCAGGGCGTGGTCAGGGTGTGGTCCACACAGCGCTCCAGGAGGTCCCTGTGAGCAGCTAGGGAGGGTCCAAGGGCCCCAGGCCCAGAGCCGGGCTAGGGCTGTGGGCCATGCCCCTTCCTACACCAAGGAAAGGTGCCAGGCCCCGGTGGTGCCCAGTGGTGGGCACTGAGGATCCAGGAGCTGGGCTAGAGGGTCCAGGGCGGGAAATGACAGTGAGGGCAGCAGCTGTTCCCAGCAGCCAGGGGCACCCTCCTCCTCCAGTGAGTTCAGTCCAGATGGCCCTGGCCCCTCTCCTGGCCTGGCCTGCACCTGTGCCTCCCAGCAGGCAGGCGGGCACCCACCCTGGGCATGCCTGCTGGAGCCTGGCAGAGCAGGAGGCGGAGGCTGTGCCCCTTCTCTTTCCTACTAAGTAGGAGATGAAGTGCCTTCCTCCTCCCAGGCTGCCTGCGAATGGAGCTCCTCCTCGAGGAGCCTAGGAAGTCAGCCAGCGCCGGCCCGCACCGGCCCGGCGCCCCCTCCCCCGCCGGGGCGCCACCAGGACCTACTCACACCTTCTCACAGGCACACAGGCCCCTCAACAGGCAAGGTGGCCTTTGGGTGCAGGAGCAAGTCACAGAAAGCTACTTTAAAAAAACAATCTGCATTTTCCTTGATTAGAAAAGTAATGCATATTCATTAAAGTTTTAAAATAGACAAAGAAGATTAAAAATGGAAAAGCATCCGTAATTCCACTCCCTAGAGGGGGCCACGGTCAGCCTTTCTTCCTTTTTAAATGCACGTCTCCTTGGCCAGGAGGGCAAGGTGGGGAGTGACCGCCCTCAGCTGAGAACCCGTCAGGAGTGACCTCCCGTCTCCGGTCAGGGTGGCATCTGGCCCGCAGGCGGGGACGCAGCAGCCCCCCCGCCCCCCGTGGCCTATCCTGCAGGACGTGCCCTGCACCCCCAGCAGCCACACTGCAGAGGGCACCTCTGGGGCCACAGTCCCTCGTCCCCTGTGAGGCTGACCCGCCTGGAGGTCTGCGCTCTCCACCCCCACGCAGGGACCTGGCTTCCTGCCCCGCACCCCACAGGGGTTCCAGGGAGGACGTCTGGGGGCAGGGGGCCCTCTGGCCTGAAGGGTGGCCCCGGAGGATGTTGGGGAAAGGAATCCAGGTCTGTCTTTGGGACAAGCATTTGGAATCTGCACGAGGAGGGCAGCCGGGGCGTGGGGGGCGGCTGGGGGCCATGGGCTGACATCCAAATGGGATGGGAGGGCGCCCACCTGCTTGCTCTCCACCTGCCAGCCACCAGCCACCCCGAGGAAGGCACCCTTCCCGCCGGGAGCCAGCAGGCCTGGTCATCCGCACACAGCCACCCTCCATGCTGGTCGAGGATGGAGCGCGGCCCTGTCCCCTGACCTGCTCAGAGGGCCCCAGTGGGCTCAGCCGGGGTGGGCAGCCTGGCATCTCCGCCCCCTGACTGTCTGCCTGGCCCACATGAGAGGCAGCGGGGCCAGAGGGGCAGGCGTGGGGCAGGGTGAGGGCTCCTCACCCACCTGGCGTCGGCCTCGCTGTAGTACTCTCTCGCCACAATGTCCTCAAACAGCTCTCCGCCGGTGACCCTGCGGGAAAGCACACAGGAGTCACGGCCTCGGATACCCGTTCAGTCCCCTCCATGGCATCGCCCCTCCCCCCTCCTGCTCCCCCTGCTCCCCCAGCTCCCCCTCCCCCCTCCCCCTCCTCCCACCTCCCCCACCTCCCCCACTGGCACCTCTGCCCCATCGCCTGCCACCCAAGACTGACAGCTCACTGACGGGCATTTCACATTTTGCCCTCCCCCGACCCCGTGACAGGGGCACTCAAGCTCAGAAAGCTGAGGTTAGTGACTGGCCCAGAGTGGGCAGCGCAGGCGTCTGACCCCGGTCTGCAGCAGTGCTGGGGCCTCAAGACCGATTCCCGGCCTGAAGAGATGGTTTTCCTCCTCTCCCCACAGGGCCAGAGGGGTGGCCCCCTCAGAGCGGGGGTCTGGCCTCCCTGTGGGCGAGGTCTCTAGGGGCTCAAGGTCCCACTGCCTGGAGGGCCTCGGGGAACCGGAGGGGGTCCTGGCCCTTCCAGGGTCCCCTGGGCTGGGACACGTGGGTGTGGACAGAGAGGGCAGAAAGCAGGGTCCTGCGGGCACACACACACACGTGCACACGGGTGCACGTACTTACACAGCACACGCGTTTACACGGACAAGCACACACACGCCATTCCCTCCCCATCTGCTCCTGAGTGACACAGGCCCGCCTCAGCCACCGCGTCCCTGGGCAGGGCGCCTCCAGCTCCTGGCCTGGCATGGCCCGGGGGTGAGCCTGCCGCCTCTGAAGGACCATGGACAGCGCTCGGGGGACAGCCTCGCAGCAGCTCTGGCCACCTGACTGGTGACCGCAGTGGCGTCTTGTGGGACGGGTCCTGAGAGGAGGCCACACCCGCAGGGACAGTCCCAGCCTCTCCCGAGGGCTCCGAGGGCTCCGAGCCCCTGGCCCGAGGCAGTTGTCCTTTAAGGGAGAGGGTGTCCTCCATGCAAGCAGCCCAGTCACCATGGCAATAGCACCCAGTGGGGCTTTCCTGGCCCCTGGCAGCCTGGAGGCCCCAGGGCTGCCTGAAGCCTATGGCCCTGCCCGCCCCATGTCTCCAGGGCACTGACTCACAGAAGCTAAATATAGCGCCGATCAGGGGGCTGTCGGGGAGCAGGGGGTGAGATCACCACTTCTAAATCCAGCAGAAGCCAGAGGCAGCCGGGCCAGGTGCCTTCCCACTCAGCCCCCACACGCACACAAGCACACACATGCACACACCACAAACCACACATGCACACCCCCTGCAAATCACAGTTCACACATGCACCCAGGTCCACACACATGCACAGACACACCCTCACAAATCACACACACATACACACACACACACACGCTCATGTGATCACTCACACCTATGCTGACACCCACACGTGCACACTCACCAACACATACAAGTGCACACATGGAACCAGAGCCACACACATGCGTTCTCACACTCACATGCACATGCCAGCAGGAGCCTCACCCGAGTGGTGAGGACACCGAGAGAAGGGGATGGGAGGCCTGTTCCTCTGCCCCTTCTGAGGGTTCTGTCTGGAGGAGGGGGCCCAGAGCAGTGACCCCAGCCATGGGACCAGGCAGCCCAGTGCTAAGCAACAGGGAGGCGAGGGGGGCAAGGGGGCGAGGGGGGGAGGGGGCAAGGCCAGGGAGCCGGGACTGCCCTCCAGGCCTGGGAAGCCGGGTCCCACCCAGGCCCGACGCTTTGCACTTACAGATCGAAGACCAGGTAGTGGAAGCCCTCCTCCGAGATGCTATCGTGCAGACGCACTGCGGGGAGAGGAGACCATGAGGCTGGCAGCCGGAGCTGCCTGTGTGAGGGGAGAGCCCTCCAGGCCGGGGCTTCCACCATGCGGGGTGGGGGGATCGGGCGCAGACCGGAGGGAAACCATGACCCTGATGGCGGGGGCCAGGTTCATGGGGTGTCTGGGTATCCCAACGGGACTCACATACCAGGCCCCAGAAAGGAGCCCGTGGGGGCGAAGGGCAGGCAGGGGGGCGGCAGGCCAAGACCCACACCTATTTCCAGGGTCAGCACGGTCTGGGGACCAAGCAGCTCCAAATATCCCAACCACAGACCCGCTCTGGGGTGCCAGAGAGAAGGGACCTACCGCAGCTGCACCCCGAGACCAAGGCCTGGCTCTGGAGGCTGCATGTGTCCCCGTGGTCCCCGCTCCCCAGTTCTGGGTCCGGGGCTGCCAGACGCAGGGCTCTGCAGAACCAGGCCTTGGACCCCAGGCCGGGCTGTGCCTGCCGTGGGCTTTGGTTTCCAACCTTCTTTCTTTGTAACCAGCCACCTTGTGGCTTTTCTGAAGCCGCAGGACATCCAGGCCCTGCCTGCCTCCTGCGAATCCTGACTGGGAGTTACTGAGGGCGGGCATGGTCTCCAGGGTGTGTCCAGCCTCGATCTCCCCAGGGGGCTGTCTGACCCCAAGATCCCCTGATGAGGAGGAGAGGGGGAGAGGGGGCTTTGTTGCAGAAGAGAGGCGGCCTCTGGGGCCTGGGGGGGCAGGCCGCCTGCTGCGGGAGGGAGGGCCCCCCGCCCACGGTGCTCACCGATGTTGGAGTGCTTCAGAAGGCGGCAGATTCGAGCCTCTCTCTCCAGCTTCTGGTGATCTGGGGGCAGAAAGCGACATGGTGTCACCTCCTGTCTCGGCAGCTGGTCACTTCCCAGGCCTGTGGCCACACAGACCACCTGTGCTGGACCAGCCGCTGTCTCCGGAGGTGGCTGCCTGTGACACGGGCCTCGGGCAGGCCTCTGGGAAGAAGGCGCAGGACCTGACCTCCACCCCACACACCCCTCAGCCAGGGGCTGCGCCCGGTGGTGTGACTACGCCACGTGGGCAGGAGGAGGCCTCAAGGTCACGGCCCTGCCCTGCACCCACACCCCGATGCAGGACCCCCATTCCAGAGGCCACCCCAGGGCCCAGCCACTTACCAGCCAGAAATGAAATACTTCACACAAACAGGTGTCAGGAGGATTTTAAAAGCTGGCGGAGATTGTAAAAGCAAAAACGGGGAAAAACACATGTGCACTGACCAGAAAGCAGAGAAAAGCGTGGCTGCCTCTCACAACAGCATCACCCCAACGCAAGGCTGAGCGAGAAAAGCCACCGGCAGAGAAAAGGCCAGACTGTGCTTTGCACACATAGGTGCACACACTCACACAAGCACACATGCCACTGGGCACACACACGCCACTGTGCACATGTGTGCTGCTAACAGGCGGGAGGATCAGGGCACACGTACATACTTGCAAACACACATGTGCCTTTCGCTAGTGGAAGAGCCTGCAGACAGGAAGGAGGGGACGCCTGGGGCATCCAGCTGGCTCCCCCTCCTCCCAGGACGGCCACTCAGCCTCCGGAAATGCTATGGCTCCTGTGCCTCCCCTGCTGCCATCTGTCCCTGGCACTGGGAGGGCCCCTCACCTCCACACCCACGCTCTGGTGGCAGCCAAGGTGTCCTCAGACACTGGGTGCAGCCAGCACCCCCACCAGACAGACAGACAGACAGACGGCAATGCAGCCCCCCAACACCTGTGGGGTCCAGAGGTGCAGGGTACTGGGCTTACAGGGCGCTTTTTCCTTCCATCGTGTTTTTTAAACAGCATTCTGAGCATTTTTCACACAGAGAAAAGCTGCAAGATCAGCACGGAGTTCTCAGGGACAGCACGCTCTCCTTACACACACACACACGCACACACGCACACACGCACACACGCACACACACACATCCGTGTGCCTACACGTTCCCAGCCTTTCCAGCTGTGCGTTTCGTAGGAACACGGACAATCTCGGGGCAGTTACTCCACATAGTAAGTAGCCCCACGCTGAGATGACACTCGAATCCGGCCGACAGTCCACATCCCAATTTGCCACCTGCCCCAACAGTGTCCCAGGGTGACAGCTGAGACACCCACTGTGTGTGGAGGGGGCGGAGCTGGGCCGAGGTCAGGGAGAGCCTGGAAGGTAGGGGTGGTTCTCTTTGGAACAACTGCCTGGTTTCCGTCATAAATAAAAACCAGGAGATAAATGCATGTGGGAGCCCGTCTTTGGGAAGCAAATGGCTGAGGACTGTGTCCTATTACTGAAATCTGTCGCGGGGGTGGAGCCCCACCCAGGAGGTCTCCACCTGCTCCTGCGAGTTTGGGACGTAACTTATTTGTGTGGGGCCGAGAAGGCGCACCTGGCTGCCCCACGCAGGCGCCCTGTCCACCCCATCACGGCAGTCGCTGGCCCTCATGGCCCAAGCGCAGAGGCCCCCGGCCAGAGAGTTGGGGGGGGGGGGCGATCAGGACTCCATCACCACACCTGCCTACAATGCATCACCATGGTAACAGCACTTCATGCGGGTGGCAGGATTGTGAGTGATTTTATTTATTCTGTACACGTTCCCCGGCTTTGACAATGATCTGGTGTTACTTTCATAATTAGGTAAAATGTTGTTTTTAAAAAATAGTTTGAGCCTCACCCTAGCTGGTGTTCTCAGTGGTGAGAGCATCGGCACTTACTTGGGTTGTAGGTTCCATCTGGCCAGGAACGCAGGAAAGCAACCAACAGATGTGTCTCTCTCACATCGATGTTTTATTCTCTCTCTCTTTCTCTTTTACTCCCTCCCTCCCCTCCACTCTTTCTAAAAATCAATGGAAAGAAATCAGAAACATCCATCAGAAAGAATGTATGCACCCCTATGCTCATAGCAGCACAATTTACCACAGCTAAGATCTGGAAACAGCCCAAGTGCCCGTCAGCAGATGAGTGGATAAAGAAGCTGTGGTCCATCTACACCAGGGAATGCTACGCAGCAGCAAAAAAGAACTCACCATTTGCAACAGCACGGAGGGACCTGAAGAGCATGACGCTGAGTGCAATAAGCCAGTCAGAGAAAGACAAGTGTCACATGATCACACTCATATGTGGAATCTAATGAACGACATAAACTGATGAACATAATAGGTCCGGAGACACAGAAGCACGGAACAGACTGGAATCTCAGAGGGAGGAAGTGGGGATAGATCAGCACCTGGACACAGACAAGGTGGTGAGGGCCTGGGGGGGACGGGGCGGGACAGAAAGGGTCAGCGGGGAGGCGGGCACGTGTAGCGCTTTCTCTTTTTTGGTCTATATTCCTATTGATTTCACAGAGGAAGGGAGAGGGAGAGAGAAACATCAATAATGAGAATCATTGAGAACCAAGATGGCGGCATAGGTAAACACGGGAAATTGCTGCCTCCCACAACAACTTCAAAAATACAACTAAAAGACAAAACGGACATCATCCAGAACCACAGGAAGGCTGGCTGAGTGGAAATTCTACAACTAGAAGGAAAGAGAAAAGCACACTGAGACCCAGAGGAGCTGCGAAAGTACAGAGGTACCTCTGCTTGCTCACGCGGCAAGGCTGGCAACTGAGGACGTGGCTGTCTCTTTGAATCGGGAGGGAGTCACAAGCTCCCGACTGCTCTGAACTCCAGTTCCGGGAAGTCTCTGGAGTCCCAGACTCATACGGGAGAAACTGGACTGTCTGGCAGTGGACAGAACTCGGAACTCGAGGGTGGCTTTCCCTCAGAGGTGCTTGCAGCAATTACCTGGACACTGAGACGCGGGGCCCCTTAGGGCAGGTCTGAGGATCAGCCATAGCTGTTTGCTCTGCCCTGTTGATTCCCTGAGACCCCGCCCCACCCAAGCTGCGTGCTGAGGCTTTTGCATTTGAATGCCTTGGCCCTTTGCAATCTGAAAATTACCTAACAAACTGCAGCTGGGCAAGACAGACCCAGAACTTCCAAGAGAAGGCCCAAGGCCCCACAGCAGCTTGCATTACCCCAAACAAGGAAGGGGAATCTGCAGATATCTTCGTAGCTCCTGCTGGGTAGCCTCAGGCAGAGGCTATATTAGCACCTCCTTAGAGATCTGAGAGCCAGTGTCCCCAGTGGTCAGAGTGGGACCATCCAGATTACAACTCCTCAGATCCATAAGGGACACACTCAGGGGGCAGACTCAGTGAGCACCAAAGCCCCACTGAAGCAAGTCCTGCCCCAGAAGGGTGTCTTCAGCACAGAAGTTCTCCCACTGTAGACAGAGCTGATTCTCACAGCCAATTGGCCTGGAGGTCAATTCCTCCCAGTGATACCTACAACAATCAAAGCTTAACTACAACAAGACTATGCACAAAGCCCACAAGGGGGTGCACCAAGAGTGTCCACCTCAGGTAATTGGGGAGGCTGAGCCACTGGGCCCTATAGGACACCTAGCACACAAAGCCACTCTACCAACACAGGGAAGCATAAAAAATGCAGAGACAAAGAAACAGGTCCCAAATGACAGAAATGGAGAAAAGCAAACGACTGGATATAGAGTTCAAAACCACAGTTATAAGGTTTTTCAAGAATTTTCTAGAAACCACCGATAAATTTAGTGAGACCCTGGAGGATATGAAAAAAGACCAACTAGAAATTAAGCATACACTGACTGAAATAAAGAATAATATACAGAGATCCAACAGCAGACAAGAGGATCGCAAGAATCAAGTCAAAGATTTGAAATACGAAGAAAAAAAAAATACCCAACCAGAAATGCAAAAAGCAAAAAGAATCCAAAAATACAAAGATAGTGTAAGGAGCCTCTGGGACAGCTTTAAGCATACTAACATCCGAATTATGGGGGTGCCAGAAGAAGAGAGAGAGCAAGATATCGAAAACCTATTTGAAGAAATAATGACAGAAAACTTCCCCTACCTGGTGAAAGAAATAGACTTACAAGTCCAGGAAGCGCAGAGAACCACAAACAAAAGGAATCCAAAGAGGACCACACCAAGACACATCAGAATTAGAATGCCAAGAGCAAAAGACAAAGAGAGAATCTTAAAAGCAGCAAGAGAAAGACAGTCAGTTACCTACAAGGGAGTACCCATACGACTGTCAGCTGATTTCTCAACAGAAACTTTGCAGGCCAGAAGGGAGTGGCAAGAAATATTCAAAGTGATGAATAGCAAGAACCTACAACCAAGATTACTTTACCCAGCAAAGCTATCATTCAGAAGTGAAGGTCAGATAAAGAGCTTCACAGATAAGGAAAAGCTAAAGGAGTTCATCACCACCAAACCAGGATTATATGAAATGCTGAATGGTATTCTTTAAGAAGAGGAAGAGGAAGAAAAAGCTAAAGATAAAAATTATGAACAGCAAATACATATCAACAAGTGAATCTAAAAATCAAGTGAATAAAAAATCTGATGAACAGAGTAAACTGGTGAATATAATAGAACCAGGGGCATGGAAAGGGAGTGGACTGACAATTCTTGGGGGGGAAAGGGGTGTGGGGGATGCGGGAAGAGACTGGACAAAAATCGTGCACCTATGGATGAGGACAGTGGGAGGGGTAAGGGCAGAGGGTGGGGTGGGAACCGGGTGGAGGGGAGCTATGGGGGGAAAAAAGAGGAACAACTGTAATAATCTGAACAATAAAGATTTAATTAAAAAATATAATAATGAGAATCATGGATCGGCTGCCTCCTGCACGCCCCCTGCTGAGGATCCAGCCCACAACCGGGGCCTGGGCCCTTGACCAGGAATCGAAACCTGACCCCCTGGTTCACAGGTCAACACTCAACCACTGAGCCACGCAGGCCGGGCCGTATGTAATACTTCCAACAATATAGATTTTTTTAAAATAAATAAAAATCAATGGAAAAAATATCCCCAGGTGAGGATTAGCCAAGAAATGAACGGAATGAAGGAAGCTGCTGCGGGGCTGGGCGAGGACCTGCGGCCGTGCAGCCGGCTCGTCAGGCAGAGGAAGCTGAGGCAGAGGAAGGGCTCGGGTCCCCAAGGCCACCCCCCCAAGGTGCCGCCTTCACGCCCCGCGACAGCCCCCGTCCTGGCCCCACCCTCCCAGGACCCCACCTCAGCCCTGGCTCCCACAGGCTCCCTGCTGTGGAGTGGGGGCAGCCAGGACAGGTGGACAGAGGGACCCGGCTGGTGGCAGGCCCCTCCCCCACTGTGGCCCCGCCCCCTGCAGAGGACACCTGCCCTGCATCCTGTTCTGGCTGCTTCCCTGCTGGGACCAGCCCTCGGGACTTAGGAAGGGGGCAGGGATGAGGGGGGGGGGGGCGGTGAGGAATGGAGGGGGGAAGGGGAGGGGAAGGGGAGGGGAGGGGAGGGGAGGGGAGGGGAAGGGGAGGGGAGTGGCGGGGAGTGGAGGGGAGAGGGTGCCTCAGCCACCCCTGCAATGCAGCGCAGCCTCTGTTCACCCATTCGGGGATTCGAGGCCCCTCTCGTCTCCCGAGTGGGGTAGCTTCTCGCCATGGGCTGTGAGGCGGAAGTTTCACCCCGTCACGCCCTCTGCGGGGCGCCGCCCAGTCCTGGGGAGGGGATGGCATGAGCCTGGATGTGAGAGGAGGCACAGAGGTGAGCCCAGAACTCCTCACTGTGGCCTGTCCCTCACCTGGGAGGTCAGCCCCCTGGGAGGTCAGCCCCCTGGGAGGTCAGCCCCCCTGGGAGGTCAGCCCCCCTGTGACGTCAGCCCCCTGTGACGTCAGCCCCCCTGTGACGTCAGCCCCCCGTGACGTCAGCCCCCCTCCCCCCCCCCCCCCCCGTGAGATCAGCCCCCTGTGAGATCAGCCCCCTGGAGGTCAGCCCCCTGGGAGGTCAGCCCCCTGGGAGGTCAGCCCCCTGTGAGGTCAGCCCCCCTGATGACCCAGCCCCCCCCTCCCGGGTGGAGTCCAGAGCCTGTGCACCCAGCTCTGTTAGGCTGTGGCTCCTGGAGCTCTGCTTCTGGGGACCAGGGATCCTTGGCTCTGAATCTTGGGGGCGTAGGGGTCACTGAGAAGCCATGGCAGACACAGTGGGGCTCAAGGTTGGGCACAATCGATGCCCAGGGTCTCGCTTACTCCACTGGCCAAGGGTCACGTCTGGGCCCTCACAGCCGGCGCAGGGGCCCAGAGGACTGCTGGGGGCCTGGGAGCAAGGGAGGGGGTCTCAGGCAGCACTCACGCCCGCCCTGCACGATCTCCTCTGAAGTAGAGACCAGCCCATCCCGTGGTCACCTCCGGGGAAACCGAGGTCCAGGTGGCTCAGGAACACGGCCAGGGCCACACTACCCTGCAGGCCACTGCGCCTTCCCCAGGACAGGCAGGCGGCCGTGTGCGAAGACCAGGGGGGGCTGGGAAGGATCCCCAGTTCACACGGCCTCAGCATCGCCCGGCACCCCAGTTCTCCGGCCCCCAGTTCACAGCAGATGGCATCACCTGGCCCACAGAGGCCTGGCCACCACGCCTCTGCCCCTCCAGCTCCAGGGAGGCCCCCAAACCCCTGAGAAGGTATGATCCCCGTTCCGAGGGTGGGGTCCCCATCCTCCTGCCCTGTCCAGGTCCTACAGTGGCCAGGACCCCACTCACACCCTCTGTGCCCCTATGCCAGTCCTCTGCACACGGCCACCTGCCCTCTGCCCCTGCGCCCAGCCCTCTGCACATGCCCACCTACCTCTGGCCGACAGCTTCTTGGTGTTGATGATCTTGGCTGCATACTCATGGCCGGTGCAGAGCTTGACGCAGCGTCGGACCACAGAGAAAGCCCCCCTGGGAGTCAAATGGGGACAGAGACACACAGAGAGAGAGCTGGTTAGTCTCCCTGGGATGCCCAGCACCCCAGCGAGGCTGGCAGTGGGCAGGGATCTGTGAAGGACGGGTTCCCACAGCTCCTGACTCTCCTCTGGCCCTTCCCTGGCAGCGCAGCCGCCCCCACCCCAGGTCCTCATGGGTCAGCGGGACACAGGGCGCCCTGGCGGACTCTAAGCCTGCATCCCCCACTGCTCTGCCAAGTCCTCGAGGCCCAGCAAGGCCCAGGGGGACCCAGTGAGACCCAGGAGGACCTAGGGGGACCCAGCGAGTGTTCCCATGGATGGAGGTCAGTGTGGCCACACAGGACTCACCGAGGGCTGTGGAGAAGCACCAGGTCAGCAGGCTGCAAAGCTGGAGGAGCAGCCCCCCACCTCCATGACCCCCCACCTCCACTGCCCTCACCCCCGCTCCCCTTTCCCACAGCAGAGGCTGCAAGTCCCACATCACAGGCCTACAGGTCAGTGCTTCTGAGGGAGCAGCAGGAGGGGGAGCCCCTGAGGGTCCAGAGAAGGAAAGTGGGGTACGGCTGCTCCCAGGAAACTGGCAGCCTGGGGCCATCAGAAGGTCCTCCCTGGAAGAGGGAATGTCATGGGAGGGTCTGAGTCCAGGCAGGAGGCTGCTGGGGCCCAGGGCGCGGGGAGCGGGGAGCGGGGCTCTGTTCTCCCCTCCCAAACCCGCAGCCCAGGCCCCACAGGCACAGCCCCCCCCACCCACACAGCTGACACCCACACGCGCCCAAGCCAGGGCTCTGGGCGATGGAAAGCCGCGTCTTAAGCAGGGAACACGTTTTCGATACAATCCTTTTTGAGACAAAACTTCATTAAAGTGTTTGATTCCCTTCCTGGAAAAAATAGATATTACAGTAAATCCAATTGACCGTTTCCTAACGACCAGGCCGCTACGGGCGATGACGGTTCTCAGAGCTATAACAGGCACAGCTTCTCCGGGGACGGGGGTGGCCCTCTGGGTGGAGCTCTGTGAAGGCCCCCAACCCCCCGAGCCACGCTGCCAGCACCCCCATGTCCCTGCCCCTCAGGGGCTGCCTGTACGGTGACAACCCCGTCCAGGCTCCACACCTCGGAGACCCGGCAGGTGTGTGCCGACGACCCCGAAGCCAACGCGGCTGGGCTCACGCAGGCGCACGAGTGGCCGCGAGGAAGAACTTGGCCCACAGCGACCTGCAGAGGCAGCTCTTCCCCGGCTGCCCCACCCGCACCGTCCCGGGCCGGGCAGTCCCCACAGCTCCCAGGGTGGGGGCAGCGCAGGGGGCGCCCACTGCCACACACGCCTCCAAACGCGGCCCAGCCCAGGCCACGTGTCTCAGTTAAAGTCCTAGAGGCTCGTTTCATTTCCGATCAATCACTCTTCGTCGCCTTCAGCTTTATTCCCGAGGAACGCCAGCATCGCGAGGTCAGCCCTCGTGGGCCGCTCACCGGGAGCGTGAGCGGAGCACGTGGCAGGTCTCAGAGGGACGGCACGGGGTTTCCACAGGACCACAGCATGGAGCCTGTGACCGCGAAACCCCCGTGGGCTCGGCTGCCTGTCGCTGTGCCGTCACGAAGGCAGGGTTGGACCCTATGAGGCCTTGCTGAGAGGCTGGCCACCAAGACAGGGCGCGCAGGCACCAGATCCCCCTCAGCCGGCGAGGGGCAGGACTGTGTGGGAAGGGCTGGGGGGGGCTGGGGGGGGGCTGGGGGGGGCTGGGACGCAGGGCCGCGGGCAGGCCTGGGCTCCGCACACACTTCCTTTATCCGTTCATCAGTGGATGCACATTTGGGACATTTTTCTTTTTAGATTTTTACTTGTTGTTTTTAAAGAGAAAGAAACATCGATGTGTTGTCCCACTTCCTTACGCATTCATTGGCTATTCTTGCATGTACCTCACGGGGGATCGAGCTGCAACCTCGCGATGTCGGAACAAAGCTCTAACCACCTGCCCAGGGCGAGGGCAGGTGTCCGCTCTGTGACTGTCCCGGGAACGGCTGTGAGCGGTCCTGTGGGCGTTTCACATCTCGAGCTACGCCTGGGAGTGGGACGCCGAGGCACCGCCCACCGTCTGCACGGGAGCTGCGGCCACGCGTCCCCGCCAGCAGGACGCGGTGTCCACTCCCCTCGCCGTCCCTGGGACCGCACTGTGGCTTCCGTCGCCTTTCCCCGATGACTTAGGATGGCGAGCGCCTCTTCATAAGCTTCTTGTCCACTCAGGTCATTTCTCACCGTCAGGCAGTGAGCTCGTAAACTGTCCGTGATCAGGCCCATGACGCACGTTTCCTTTCCTGAGGGTGTCCCGGGAGCTCACAGGGCTCAGTGCTCAGTCCAATCTGCCAGCTTCTCTCTGGCGGCTTGTGTTTCTGGTGTCGTAGCTAAGAAACCACAGCCAAACACAAGTGACTTAGGTTTTCTTCGGAGAATTTTACCGTTTCCGCTCCGACAATGACGCCTGTGACCCGTTTTCAGGTAGTTTTGGGTCCGGTAGGATGGGTTCCCACTTCATCTTGGTGGATGCCCAGCCATCCACTTGTTGACTGGACTGTGATTCTGTCCTCATTCAACTCTCTTGTCATCCTTGTCAAAACTCAGCTGACCGTGGACGTTGGTCCCACGCTGCCCCCGGGGCCGTGTGTCTGTCCTGCCCCGCGCGGCCCACACGCACCTGTGCCCGCAGCACCCACGCATCTGACCTCTGTGGCTGCACCGTCAGCTTTGGAATCAGGAAGTGTACGTCCTCGAAGTCCTCTTGCTCCAGACCGTCCTGGCTCTGCCGGGTCCCTGCATCTCCACACGAACCGTAGAGTCAGCTTGTGAGCCCGGCAGCGCGGCTCAGTGGTTGAGCATCGACCTATGAACCAGAGCTCAGGGTTCGAGTCCCCGTCAGGGCACAGGCCCGGGTTGCGGGCTGGATCCCCAGTGGGGGGCGTGCAGGAGGCAGCCGATCCACAATTCTCTCTCATCATGGATATTTCTCTCTCCCTCCCCCTCTCTCTGAAATCAATTAAAAAATACATTTTGAAAAGGAATCAGCTTGTGAATCTTTTTAAAAGGCAGCGGGAACCTCGACAGGCATCACCCTGGACTGCGGTGGGTATGGAGGGGGTGCGGCTCCAAGTCTCCTGCCGCCCGAGCTCACGTCTTCGCACGGAGGCGAGTGGCCTTCCACCTCTCAGCAGCAGGTTGTGTCCAACGTCCACGCCCTGAGGGGTCTTTGTCGGCTGGTTCTCAGCACCTCCCTGTCCGAGGCACCACTGCGAATGGACTGTATGTCGGGGATGAGACGCCTCCTCTCGGCGCCACTGTGCTGGCCTCGCTCCTCGGCTCCGACGGGGCTTCTGGGCGGCCCCTCTGGCTCCGGGTCTCGGGAGGCAGCGGAGGGGGGTCCCTCTTATTTCTCGTCCGTCGAGTGTTTACTGAGGAAGCAGTGTGAGGCCTCTGTTGGGAGGGTCCCGTAACTCCGTTGTTTACTCTGCTGGTACGGGGTGTACGCTGACTGGCCTCCACGTGCTACACCAGCCGCGACCTGGGTAAATGCCGCCGTTGGCAGTGGGCAGCCCCTCCTGCGCGCTGGGACTTCGCCGACGACGTCACGTCCCTGTTCACCAGGGACGCACTCTCTCGTCTCCCATCCTGTGATGTCTTTGGTTTGACTGTCAGGGTGACGCTGGCCTTCCATGGGCTGAGAAAAACACCCTCCTCTTCTATTTATTTTTAAATAAGTTTCTATTGATTTCTAACGCTGTCTCCCCAGTAAAAGCACTCACCAAACTAGAAACAGAGGGAACGTCCCGGGACCAGGAGCCGGGCAGGGCCCTCCGGGTCCTCAGGAGGCTGGAGCGGCCGCCGGGTGAGGTGCAGGGCAGGCGGGGGCTGCCCGAGCTCGATGCCAGGAGGTCTGCAGCCGGCGGAGTGGCAGCCGGGCCCAGGCATCCGTGTGGCCTGTCAGGGGCTCTCTGGGTGAAGGGCCGGCGCGGCCACTGGAGAAGGTGATCAGGGCCACACCGGGCTGCATGGTGGGGACGCTTCCCAGGCCGGGGCGATGGGCCCTCAGGATGGCCAGTGGGCGGCGTGGGCACAGACCTGCTGGGGCCTCTGCCCGGCCAGCCCACGTGGCCTCTTGCTGCCCGGCCCCAGCAGAGCTCACCTGACCGTCCGTGTTGGGGACTTTGCTGCCGATGGGAACCAGCACCTCCCGCCGCCCCCCAAGGCCCCACCTTCCACGGGGCGGGTGCCCAGCACACTGGGAAGAACCACAGCCCGCAAGGCCACTCGGTTGGGCACCTAGTGTGCGCCGGGCACGGCCCTGAGCCCTGGAATGCCGTGGGGGCTGGGGGCAGAGAGGCTCCTCGAGGGGCAGGCACATCAGGAGACGTGCGCTCCCGCCGGCCACCCCTCCCCTCCCGTGCGGCTGCCTGCGTCATGTGGTGGGGGCGGCTCTCACACTGGCTCCCACGAACAGCGAACAGCGTGGCTCATGCTTCCTCCATAAATGTTCTCAAACCCGTGCCCGCGAGTGCCAATCTGTTCCAGAATCAACAGAGGCTCAGCGCTGGCTTCACAAAGAGGCATAACTAAGCCGCGAGGAGAGGACTGCGCCCACCGGGTCCACGGTGAGGCCCGAGGCTGGCACCTGGCAGCCCCTCTGACACGACGGCATGTTCTCCTTTTAAATCGATCCCGCTCTTCGCATGAATAAAACATACATTTCCTGTACTACGCCAAGAGGATCATTTTTGGAAAACCTCGTCGCTACATAATGCATTTTTATGTCCCTACATTAACAAAGCGGCTCACAGTGGTGAAAGATGCTTTAAAAATAATCAGGTTCCATTTTTGTCAGAGTCAGAGAGAAAATTACATTTTTGAAAATATATTGGAAATCTCCAGAAAGGCCAATCTCTTGCCTCAGACCAGGCGGTCTCAGGGAGCGGACACTGGCCACCCCTCTGCTTGGTCCATCCTGTGAA